CAACAGACATAATTATGAATTTACATATAAAGATGTTCTTAAGTGGGTCAAACATCACTCTAAAAGTTCATCTAATTGCATTTAATATAAATTAAACTATAATACATTTTAATTTAATTGTAGTTAACATGCAATTAGTGTCCAAAAACATTATATTCAGATCACACTTCAAGTATATTTTTTAATATACATCTTGAAACATATTTTCCCAAATATATTTGCCCATTTTTGTACATATTTAAAAATATATTTAGGATAAAATATATTTTAAATACATGCTAAATACACCCCCATTTGGAATAATCCAGATTTTACAGTTAACAAGAAGCCACTCAACTTATGCACATGGGCAGAAAAAGGCTTCACACAACTTCAACATATCTTTCATAATAATAACCTGGCAACTTTCTCCCAGAAACACGGCATCGGTAGTAAATGGTTTTTGGAATACTTACAAATCACTTGATCTATCCAATCAAAAATCTACACTCGGACCATTAACCTTGACCTTTAACCTTTAATCTCAGAGTTAATTAATATATCCTCTTCAAAAAAAAAAACCCTACTATCCAAAAAATACAGAATAACATAAAAATCAGACAATAGACTAAGCTTACCAAATGCTAAATGGAAATCAGACTTATCCATTAAGTTTTCTGGACACAAATCTGCAAAAATATCTACTTTATGACAAAAATGCAACTTATACAGTATAAGGTACTTCATAGATTTCACCAACCTGGACAAAAATAGTTTAAAATGGGATTTACTTCAGAAACCTGCTCACATTGCACACAAAACAAACCAGACACAAATATTCACGCTATATGGCATTGCAACCCAATCAATAAATTCTGGGAAAACGTCACTAAATCACTATTGTGTCATCCCAATGTTTCCCTCCCTCTGTATTTTAGGTGACATAACCATAATCAATTTAAACAAAACAAAGAGTCAGTTACTCCTAGTGGCTCTAACTATTGCCAAGAAAACTATCCTCATGAATTGGAAATCAAGGAACACCATACATATGGGCATAAGGAAGAGGTAACGACCTTGATTAATATTAAACATAGTTAAGCACATATAAAGATGAATTTATCTGGTCTGATCAGTTGTGGGGCTTCCAGCACTCATTCCTGATATTGTGTCTTTTTTCATGTTTTTCAATGTGTTGCCTTAAATTATGACATATTGGTTCTGTGAAGATAAAGATGGCGAACATGCAGGAAGCAGAGGCTTATGTTTAACAGCTTAAAGAGAAAAGAAAAATCCAGAGAGGGCAATGAGTACCACAGGGATGGTGAGGATCTGGAAGATGAGTGATAGAAAAAAGCAACGAGAGAAAACAAAATGCCTTCAGTTTGTGCAGCGTTTGTCTGAATGCATATCCCGCTGTTTGAAGTGTCCGTGCATGTGTGTGTGTGTCTGTGTATGCTTTTATGCTATCGCATATATGTTTTCTCCAGATGGAAGCACTTAAAAGCTCTGTCTCTCCAGGGAGGATAGCGATATGTTCCCAGTTTTCCTCTTTTTTGAAAAACATATTCGTACTTCCATGAATAATTGACATGCAGTTCTCTTTGCTGTCCACTGGAGGCCATGCAACAGATTTATTGAAGAAAAGCGAATGAGAATTAAACTGTTTTCCAATCCTCATTTAATGCTACTTAAATTAGAACAAGAACGAAAGTAGAGCTTTTCGTCCTCTGATAAATCCCTTCACGCTATCGGACGAGACCTACTTTTGTCATTTTCTGCCAATTAATTTGCAATTATATCTTAATTATGCTTTTAGTAGGACACACCTTACAGGCAAATAAGAGGGCATATTCTGTCTTTCTTTCCATCGTTCTACAGCCATATGGACTAAATCTCAAACCAGGTGCTTTGTGCTCTGATTCCACAAAGCACATGTTCAGTCACCGCACCTCATGTTGTTTGCTGTTTGAAGCCTAACAGAAGTACAATCTAATACAGTGGTCTCCAAACTCGGTGTCCTGCAGAGTTTAGCTCCAACTTTCCTCAACACACCTGCCTGGAAGTTTCTAGCATGCCTAGTAAGACCTTGATTAACTGGTCCAGGGTTGGAGCTAGACCCCTTATCTAATGCAACAGGGATGCGATGAGCTTTATTTTAGTGGCTTGCTCAGGAACACAGCAGTGAAAATTCATGGATCGCCTCTGACACAGCTGTGTTGCTGCACTTATCGGCTTATAATATGGCCAGTTTGAGCATGACAACATGTTATTTTTGAGAGACAAAGTGAAATAATGGGGGGAAAAAAGCTTTAAAACTGTATTACTGCTATTAAACATCTCTCCCTACAATCACAAAATACACTATTGTGTAAACGATTGTCGGTAAGAGTCAGTAAGACTTTAATCAATAGTTTTATTCAAGTTTTTATCAATTAAATGCAACAGTAAACAGTAAAGACATTTATAATGTTATAAAAGATTCCAATTTGAAATAAATGCTGTTCATTTGAACTTTCTATTTAGCAAAGAATCCAGAAAAAAAGATCACGATTTCCACAAAAATATTAAGGGGCACAACAACTGATAATATTAAGAAACGTTTCTTGGGCAAATCAGCATATTAGAATGATTTCTGATGGATCATTTGGCAATGAAGACTGGAGTAATGATGCTGGAAATTCAGCCTTGCAAGAATAAAAATTTAATTTAATTTTACCATATATTTAAATATAAAATATGTTCTGGTGATCCGGCATTTTTGGAGCATTTCAGAACCCTGGACAGTTCCTAAAAGAGGATTCCTGATTGGTTCATTTGCCTTGTCAGAATGCAAATGAATCGAGTGACATGCAGCTATACCCCCATCTCTCTCTCT